CTGAAGAAGGGAAGGAAGGAGGGAGTTCGTTAGTGAATGGCGTTGGGAAGGAGGAGAAAGGAGACAGAGTGTGTTGTGGAGAAATCTCTTTAGGATAAACATGAGAGAATGTTGTGGAGAAATGTCTTTGGGAAAATAAAAAATGAGTGTGTTGTGGAGAAATCTCTTTAGGATAATTTTTTTTAGAGATAATGTTGCGGAGAAATTTCTTTGGGAAAAGAAGAAATGAGTGTGTTGTGGGTAAATCTCTTTAGCAAAAGAAAAAAGAAAGTGTTGTGGAAGAATCTCGGGTTTGTGAATATCGTTTCTACGAAAAGAGAGTTTGTGGAGGAATCTTTTAAAGAAAAGTAAAAAAAATAGAGGCTTGTAGGGGACTTTGGTTTCTCAGAAAAGCAGATTAAGACAAGGCACAAGTCTACCTGAAGAAGGAACGAGAAAGGAGAATCTGTTAGTAAATATCGTCGGGAAGAACAAGAAAAAGAAAAGTTCGTGAATACCGTTAGGAAGAAGAAGAAGAAGAAAAAGAAAGAAAGAGTATTGTGGAGGATCTTCGGATTCTCGGGAAAGTAGATTTAGACAAGACCAAAATCTATCTGAAGAAAGGTAGGAGGCCGATAGGTACGTCGTGGGTAGTGAGGGATTTATATAAAAGAAAATAAAGACTTATGAAGGAATCCCGTTACATCAAATTGCTGTCTCTGAGGATTATGTCACGCAAATACACACCACGTATTCTCTCTCTCTCTCTCTCTCTCTCTCTCTCTCTCTCTCTCTCTCTCTCTCTCTCTCTCTCTCTCTCTCTCTCTCTCTCTCTCTCTCTCTCTCTCTCTCTCTCTCTCTCTCTCTCTCTCTCTCTCTCTCTCTCTCTCTCTCTCTCTCTCTCTCTCTCTCTCTCTCTCTCTCTCTCTCTCTCTCTCTCTCTCTCTCTCTCTCTCTCTCTCTCTCTCTCTCTCTCTCTCTCTCTCTCTCTCTCTCTCTCTCTCTCTCTCTCTCTCTCTCTCTCTCTCTCTCTCTCTCTCTCTCTCTCTCTCTCTCTCTCTCTCTCTCTCTCTCTCTCTCTCTCTCTCTCTCTCTCTCTCTCTCTCTCTCTCTCTCTCTCTCTCTCTCTCTCTCTCTCTCTCTCTCTCTCTCTCTCTCTCTCTCTCTCTCTCTCTCTCTCTCTCTCTCTCTCTCTCTCTCTCTCTCTCTCTCTCTCTCTCTCTCTCTCTCTCTCTCTCTCTCTCTCTCTCTCTCTCTCTCTCTCTCTCTCTCTCTCTCTCTCTCTCTCTCTCTCTCTCTCTCTCTCTCTCTCTCTCTCTCTCTCTCTCTCTCTCTCTCTCTCTCTCTCTCTCTCTCTCTCTCTCTCTCTCTCTCTCTCTCTCTCTCTCTCTCTCTCTCTCTCTCTCTCTCTCTCTCTCTCTCTCTCTCTCTCTCTCTCTCTCTCTCTCTCTCTCTCTCTCTCTCTCTCTCTCTCTCTCTCTCTCTCTCTCTCTCTCTCTCTCTCTCTCTCTCTCTCTCTCTCTCTCTCTCTCTCTCTCTCTCTCTCTCTCTCTCTCTCTCTCTCTCTCTCTCTCTCTCTCTCTCTCTCTCTCTCTCTCTCTCTCTCTCTCTCTCTCTCTCTCTCTCTCTCTCTCTCTCTCTCTCTCTCTCTCTCTCTCTCTCTCTCTCTCTCTCTCTCTCTCTCTCTCTCTCTCTCTCTCTCTCTCTCTCTCTCTCTCTCTCTCTCTCTCTCTCTCTCTCTCTCTCTCTCTCTCTCTCTCTCTCTCTCTCTCTCTCTCTCTCTCTCTCTCTCTCTCTCTCTCTCTCTCTCTCTCTCTCTCTCTCTCTCTCTCTCTCTCTCTCTCTCTCTCTCTCTCTCTCTCTCTCTCTCTCTCTCTCTCTCTCTCTCTCTCTCTCTCTCTCTCTCTCTCTCTCTCTCTCTCTCTCTCTCTCTCTCTCTCTCTCTCTCTCTCTCTCTCTCTCTCTCTCTCTCTCTCTCTCTCTCTCTCTCTCTCTCTCTCTCTCTCTCTCTCTCTCTCTCTCTCTCTCTCTCTCTCTCTCTCTCTCTCTCTCTCTCTCTCTCTCTCTCTCTCTCTCTCTCTCTCTCTCTCTCTCTCTCTCTCTCTCTCTCTCTCTCTCTCTCTCTCTCTCTCTCTCTCTCTCTCTCTCTCTCTCTCTCTCTCTCTCTCTCTCTCTCTCTCTCTCTCTCTCTCTCTCTCTCTCTCTCTCTCTCTCTCTCTCTCTCTCTCTCTCTCTCTCTCTCTCTCTCTCTCTCTCTCTCTCTCTCTCTCTCTCTCTCTCTCTCTCTCTCTCTCTCTCTCTCTCTCTCTCTCTCTCTCTCTCTCTCTCTCTCTCTCTCTCTCTCTCTCTCTCTCTCTCTCTCTCTCTCTCTCTCTCTCTCTCTCTCTCTCTCTCTCTCTCTCTCTCTCTCTCTCTCTCTCTCTCTCTCTCTCTCTCTCTCTCTCTCTCTCTCTCTCTCTCTCTCTCTCTCTCTCTCTCTCTCTCTCTCTCTCTCTCTCTCTCTCTCTCTCTCTCTCTCTCTCTCTCTCTCTCTCTCTCTCTCTCTCTCTCTCTCTCTCTCTCTCTCTCTCTCTCTCTCTCTCTCTCTCTCTCTCTCTCTCTCTCTCTCTCTCTCTCTCTCTCTCTCTCTCTCTCTCTCTCTCTCTCTCTCTCTCTCTCTCTCTCTCTCTCTCTCTCTCTCTCTCTCTCTCTCTCTCTCTCTCTCTCTCTCTCTCTCTCTCTCTCTCTCTCTCTCTCTCTCTCTCTCTCTCTCTCTCTCTCTCTCTCTCTCTCTCTCTCTCTCTCTCTCTCTCTCTCTCTCTCTCTCTCTCTCTCTCTCTCTCTCTCTCTCTCTCTCTCTCTCTCTCTCTCTCTCTCTCTCTCTCTCTCTCTCTCTCTCTCTCTCTCTCTCTCTCTCTCTCTCTCTCTCTCTCTCTCTCTCTCTCTCTCTCTCTCTCTCTCTCTCTCTCTCTCTCTCTCTCTCTCTCTCTCTCTCTCTCTCTCTCTCTCTCTCTCTCTCTCTCTCTCTCTCTCTCTCTCTCTCTCTCTCTCTCTCTCTCTCTCTCTCTCTCTCTCTCTCTCTCTCTCTCTCTCTCTCTCTCTCTCTCTCTCTCTCTCTCTCTCTCCCAACGCCTCACGCTTGCGACAGGTGGAGAAGCATCGTACACCATCGCGCAACACCCTGGAATATTCCACCCGCCCTCGCTGGTGCCGACGCAGAGAGCCAAATTTATTGATTCATCTGGATATTGTATTCGTGATCAGGGGTAATAAAATAAAGATATCATTGACAGAATAAAATAAAATAAAACAAACAAACAAACTAGAATTCAATAGACCTTAGATTTATTCAAGAACATTCATTTTATACCGAAATGTACGAAATATGTAAAACTGTGTCTAAGAAAGCAATTAAAAGGATGCCGAAAATTAATTAGAGTATCAATAAACGGAAACAAAATATGAACGAAAGAAGAGAGTTAACCAAAAAAGATCAATAATCCTTAAAATCACGTATTTTCCATTTCCTGCATTTGCAAAGCTATGCAACCTGGTGATCGAACAAAGGAATTCAAATCCATTACGAACCCAAAGTGATTTTTTTTCCCTCGTAATTCCTAAAACCATTGCTTCAATTTTTTTCCCCTCAATTCACTATCATCATTTTTTTCCCCATCCTCTAAGTACTTTGCATTTAAATCCCTCACAGCAAAATACCCCTTTATTTTCGTCCGAGAGAAATCACACCCCCTTTGCAACATTGCCGAGAGCGTCTTGCAGCCTGCCATTTCCTCTCCCTTAAGTCAACCAAATCGTTTTAGAAGTGTGACCCATTTTCGTAATGAGCAAGGCGGGGGTAGGCCGGTTTCCAGAAGCCATCGACCGATTCGCTAAGAGAGAGAAAGAGAGAGAGAGAAAGAAAAAAAATCGACTTTAATCGACTTTAAGTTTACCCCCCTCCCTCTCCTCCCCCTCTCCCTCCTTCTCCCTCCCTCCCCTACCCCTTTTTCTCCATCCCCATCCCCTTCCCCCCCTTCCCCCTCCCCCCCTCCCCCCCATCTCGTGAATCGACCCGAAAAGCCCCCGCTGACCAATCACTTTTCTGTCTCTTTTGTTTCTGTCTATCTTTCCTTTATCTCTTTCTCTCCCTCCACCCCTTTCTTTGCCTTTTTTTCTCTCTCTTTGATGCTTCTCTCTCTTTCTTTCTTTCTTTCTTTCTCTTTCTCTCTCTCTCTCTCTCTCTCTCTCTCTCTCTCTCTGTTTCTGTTTCTCTCTCTCTCTCTCTCTTTCCTTTTTCCTTCTTCATTTCTATTCTCTTCCACTCTCTCTTATTTTCTCTCTCTCTCTCTCTCTATCTATCTATCTCTATCTATCTACCTATCTACCTATCTATCTTTCTCTTTCTCTTTCTCTCTCTCTCTTTCTCGCTTTATATCTCTCTCTCTCTATCTATCTATCTACCTATTTATCTTTCTCTCCCTTTCTCTCTCTCGCTTTATCTCTCTCTCTCTCTCTCTCGCTTTATCTCTCTCTCTCTCTCTCTCGCTTTATCTCTCTCTCTCTCTCTCTCTCTCTCTCTCTCTCTCTCTCTCTCTCTACCTATCTATCTTTCTCTCTCTCTCTCTCTCTCTCTCTCTCTCTCTCTCTCTCTCTCTCTCTCTCTCTCTCTCTCTCTCTCTCTCTCTCTCTCTCTCTCTCTCTCTCTCTACCTATCTATCTTTCTCTCTCTCTCTCTCTCTCTCTCTCTCTCTCTTTCTCTCTTTCTCTCTCACTATCTATCTCTCTCTCTCTCTCTCTCTCTCTCTCTCTCTCTCTCTCTCTCTCTCTCTCTCTCTCTCTCTCTCCTCTCTCTCTCTCTCTCGCTTTATCTCTCTCTCTCTCTCGCTTTATCTCTCTCTCTCTCTCTCTCTATCTATCTATCTATCTACCTATCTATCTTTCTCTCTCACTCTCTCTCTCTCTCTACCTATCTACCTATCTATCTTCTCTCTCTCTCTCTCTCTCTCTCCTCCTCTCTCTCTCTCTCTCTCTCTCTCCTTCCT